TCTTCTTCACCTACCTTATGTGCTCCATTATATTAAGTTTATTGATAATATCCCACAGATCAATTACAACTCTGAATATATATTATATATATAAATGTATAGAGCATTTTCTTTCCCCCCAAAGCTCGATCAGGTTAAAGTTAAACAAACTTGTAGAACTTATAATATAAGATAGATCTGTTAAGATGTTTCTTAAGACCTTATACTTAATGTTTCTATATTATATTCTACATTTAAACTTTGAATTTAAGTTTGCTTCAGTCTCATCCAAAAGCCTTAAAGTGAAGTTAAACACAGATAATTTACAGTGAATGATGAAACTCAGGTTTATTCCAATCATCACAATGTTTTATAATCACAAACATTTTGAGTTTTATTAACTTGATGAACTAAAATGTGTTTTTCTTCTCCAACAGGAACTCTGTCGACGTCTTCCAGGAGGATCCCTCGTCGGTGGCCGTCTTCCTGCTCAGGTAGGAGACTCAAAGCTTTCTTAATGTTGTTTTATTATGTTCCAGGTTTTAGGTATAGAGTTTAGACTCAGTTATTTTAATCATTTGACTTCATCCTTTTTGATCAGCTAGAAGTCTATTTAGAGTTGAGGAACATCAGGTTTTAATATAAAACTACATTATTATTTTTTAATCTATTAGGTATCGTTAGTCGACAGCTACATAGCATTATGTTATGTTATGTTATGTTAAAAGCTGATTTAAGGAGTTATGACCTCCTTTAGACATGGACATCCAGTGCTGGTATTACTTCCTGATCTAACGTTATCCTGAAGGTAGCATCAGTGTCCTGAATGTTACAGTTAACTATTTTCCCTGAAAATGATTTGAATCACTTCTCCTTTGACGGGTTAAAGAGAGTTTAACTTTTAACAGGACACTGATGCTACCTAGATCAGGAAGTAATACCAGCGCTGTGTGTCCATGTCTAAAGGAGGTCATAACTCCTTAAATCTGCTCAACATACAAAACTCATAACTCCACCTAAAACCTGGAACATAATAAAACAACATTAAGAAAGCTTTGAGCTCCTACCCAATGGGGGCTGGAGGATAGTGGGGGGGAAGGGGACTGGCTGGATGTAACCCCCTCACCTGTCACACCTTATTGTATTGTGCTGACGTAACGTGTACAAAACACAGAGGTCATCATGTCTGTTCAATATTTTATTGTAATAAAACTACTGCTGTGTCCATTTTGGCACATTTCTTTAGAGTGCTACTCACACGTTTAGCTGTGTTGCACGTTCCATGAATGCACGATGCTTACAAGTTATACCTCGTTGTAAAGGTGACTGATCAGGCTTTCCAACGATATAAAATACAACACCGATTAGTATTATTAAAGAGGCCAAATAATTCCAACAGTTATCAAAGCCACAGAAATCCTTCAGAATCAGCTTTACTGGCCAGCTGCATCCCAACACTCAAGGAATTTTACTTTAGTAAACTATGCTCTCTTTGTACAAAGGTATAATATTAAATATCAACAATAAACTTACAAGCAAAGACTAATATGTACAAGGCTAAATAGGATAATAGTGCAAAAGATGGTTAAGTAAACATGAGGTCATCCTTCATTTTAGAGTTGTTGCAGGACGTGACAAAAGGAACAACAAGGTTTAAAAGGAAGTAAATTTATTATCAAATAATCATAATTATGTAAATCAGTCATGAATGCAATGTATGGATGAGTGTAGTGTTGTAAAGTGGGAACAAAATCAAACCAGTTGATGGAGGCCTGGGAGAAAGAGAGGGGAGACAAGTTAGACTGGAAGCCACTTATAAGCAGAGTCCTGGTGGACTCAGGTGTACCCAGGTGGACTAATGGCCTTCCTGACTCCGCCTGCTGTCTGCCAAGCCAGGAAGCCAAACAAATGCAGACAGAGGGCGTCACAGCGCCATGACAGACACTACTATGTTTATCGTTGTAACACGAGATGTTACGTCCAAGACCGCTGCATAAGCAAGTCGTGAGCTGCTGCTGAAAGCTGCTGTTTATTCTAGTCTGGACAAAATATATAGAAATATAAATCATTTATTTAACATAGATTAAAAAACAAATCTTAGACTTGAACAAAACAACACACAGATCCAGCAGGAAACATCTGTCTGCATCTGTCTCTGTGGCTCAGGAGATAGATGGAGGACTTGGAGTCTGGAGGTCGTGGGTTCAAATCTTATCAGGACTCAGTGAATTTTAAAGGTGTCGGTCCAAAATAAAAGACTCAAGAGGAGAAACACAGTGAAACACCTGCCAGTATGGATCCACAGGAAACACTCAAAGACAGTGACACACATACCATTATCTTAAAGGTGTTGATCCAATGGAAAGACTCAAGAGATCTGAGAAACATAGTCAAGTATCTGTCTCTGTGGCTCAAGAGATAGAAGGAGGACTTGGAGTCTGGAGGTTTTGGGTTCAAGTCTTATCAGGACTCAGTGAATTTTAAAGGCTAACATCTGAAATGATGAAGATAAATACGCCCGGAACACATCTCATAGTGTGAAGGTATCGGTAGTGTAGTGGATAAGATTGCGGTTTCCAAACTCTGTAGGTGGTGAGCCTAGGTTCAAATCCCACTGTGTCTGGTGATGGAGGATTGGAATCTTATCAGGCAAATTTTTAAGTGGGAAATCTGAAATGACGATGATAAATACACCCGGAACAAATCTCCAAGTAGGAAGGGACCAGTGGCCAAGTGGAATTGTCCTCGCATCTGCAATACATACATGCTGGTTCAAGTCCAGCTTCTACAGTATCAGTACCTGGAACTGCTAGTTCCCCCTGATGTTTCATGAGTAACAGAAGTACAGGGTTATGAAAAAGAAAATCAAGTGTGTCTCAAGTTCTGTGAACATGTCAGACCCTTTATTTGAAACTGTTGGATGACTTAATGAACTAAATATAGTGTACTAACCTAAATTCATTAATGGTTCATTGTTCCCACCATGACATAAGATTTGATTTATTATATATACATATGGTCAATCATATATCAGGATAATATGGTTCAAAGTTAAAAGGAGCTCAAGTAAAATATGGAGCATCAGTGAAGTCACTAGAGACACTGTTTACATGATATGTGAACACCAAGAACACCTCTCCTCTCTCTGGATCATTCAGGGAACAGGAAGTTATAAAGGAAACAGGAAGTTCAGGGTTCTTTCTCTAATCTGCACACAGCAAGCAGCAACAGAAATGTAAGTTCCTGTACTGAAGTTAAGGTTTAGCATTAGCATGTAGCTTAGCATTAGCAACAACTTGTATTAGTTTATTGTTTGAATTTATACAGAACTTTGGTAATGACTAAACTTCTTGTGTCTTGTAGTTTTCACTCCTTCAATCTGGTGAAGAAATGAAAAGAGGAGATCATCTCTTTGCTCCCTTCAGGTGCAGCTCCTGCAATTCAAACACAAAGTTTACATTTAGTTTAGACCAACAAAGACAAAGTTTACATTTAGTTTAGACCAACAAAGTTTACATTTAGTTTAGACTAACAAAGACAAAGTTTACATTTAGTTTAGACCAACAAAGTTTACATTTAGTTTAACTAACAAAGTTTACATTTAGTTTAGACCAACAAAACAAAGTTTACATTTAGTTAGACCAACAAAACAAAGTTTACATTTAGTTTAGACCAACAAAGTTTACATTTAGTTTGACTAACAAAGTTTACATTTAGTTTAGACCAACAAAGTTTACATTTAGTTTAGACAACAAAGTTTACATTTAGTTTAGACCAACAAAGACAAAGTTTACATTTAGTTTAGACAACAAAGTTTACATTTAGTTTAGACCAACAAAGTTTACATTTAGTTTGAACTAACAAACACAAAGTTTACATTTAGTTTGAACTAACAAAGACAAAGTTTACATTTAGTTTAGACTAACAAAGACAAAGTTTACATTTAGTTTAGACTAACAAAGACAAAGTTTACATTTAGTTTAGACCAACAAAGACAAAGTTTACATTTAGTTTAGACTAACAAAGACAAAGTTTACATTTAGTTTAGACTAACAAAGACAAAGTTTACATTTAGTTTAGACCAACAAAGACAAAGAGGTTCCTCATGGAGGAGCACAGCATGACTCATGTGAGTAGAAATGAAAAGGTCTGGTTCATCTATCTGTAGAGAAGGTTAAAAATGTTTGACTTGAAATAAAAACTGTTTTTTAAGTTGTTCAAGTTGTTTCAATCGTCTTCTTTGACATGTCATGACTCATCTGTGTGTGTGTCGCTCTGACTCACCAAACTCATAATACTGAAGGCTGCAGAGAAGACAGATACGGCGGCTACATGCTAATGCTAAGCTACATGCTAATGCTAAGCCACGTGGTATGCTACATCAGATACAATACGTCACAAATTATAACGAGGCTAATGTTATAGCCACACTAATGCTAATATGCTAAGCTACATGCTAATGCTAAACCACGTGGTATCTCCTACATCAGATGCAATACGTCACAAATTATAACGAGGCTAATGTTAAGCTACATGCTAATGTTAAGCTACATGCTAGTTAAGCTACATGCTAATGTTAAACTTTAACTTAAGTACAGAACTTACATTTCTGTTGCTGCACGCTGTGTGCAGATTAAAGAAAGAATCCTCAACTTCCTGTTTCCTTTATAACTTCCTGTTGATAAATCCAGAGCACTTCCTGTTGATAAATCCAGAGCACTTCCTGTTGATAAATCCAGAGCACTTCCTGTTGATAAATCCAGAGCACTTCCTGTTGATAAATCCAGAGCACTTCCTGTTGATAAATCCAGAGCACTTCCTGTTGATAAATCCAGAGCTACAGATTCACAGATATAAGAAGACCGAGGAGTTCAGATGAAAAGAAACAAAGCTACATGGACAGACAGGTGATCATTCAAATGATTTCGTCTGCTTGCGTTGGATGGATGTTTCTCGATCTTCTCCTGAGTCCATTTGAACTTTTGTGATCTGTTGCTTTGGTAACCTCAGCATCGTTAACAAAAAACAGGCCAATCAGAGTCCACATTTTGAAGGTCTCGGTCTGGGACTAGAAGGAAAAAACATCAAATAACTTCAGTCCCCGGTTACGACCACAACCTTCCTGGTGTTACGCTCCAAGTGAGTAAAACGTCCCCTGCACACACACATATTTGTGACTCTGTGTGGTCTTAGTGTGCTCTTGACTACAACACTACCTCAGCTGAGTTCAGACAAGGAGGACCAAAAGCTGTTGGGTTTTTAAATGACATGACACTTTAAATGGGGGGATGAAATACTCACACCGTGTCCTGGAGGCCCTTCAGATCCTCTGATCGTTCAGCAGTCTGGACACAAAATGTGGATGAATTGAGGACACACAGACTAATGAATAATGGAGATGTGATGTGTTAGCTTGGTACATACATGAGCTTCTGTAGTGTTGCATCTTTCTCCAGCTGTCTGTCATGAGTCTGCTCCAGTAACAGGCCCTGGTTCAAACAAAAAGTAAAAAAATAAAATGTATAATGTGGCCAGAGTTAATGTTGATGTCTTCTTGAGTGGATAAATCTGGCACTTCTAATTGAAGTAGTTTATGATTGTAAATGAATGAGCTCGTCCATCATCCTCTGCTGGTCTTGGATCTGGTGTCTGAGGCGGCTGAGCTGCTTGTGGTGAGCTGGTTCTCCAGAGTTTTGTGGAGATGTACAAACGGATTTGTGTCCATCTTCTGCTCCTTGAGTTTGTCAGCCAGCAGACTCTGTTGGTTGATCTCATCATCCTGTGAATTATTACAAGAAAAGGACATCAAGTAATAATAATTGAGAAAATGAAAGTATTTGTATTTAGAATCTTTAAGCAGGTTGTCTTCAAACTGTGCTTCTAATGTTGTGTCTTGTCTTTGACTTTAGTCTATTCTTGTCATCCAGCTGTTTGTACAGGTTGCTCCTCCTCGTATTTGCTCCGCTCGTGGCAACAATATTATTTGACTTTTCTTTCACAAAGGTAAGAAGTATTTTCAGATGAAAGAAACAGTTTAATTTAAAATGAGTAATGTATCAGAATGGCCCATTTACTTTTCACGTATTGTTCAATCCTAGCTGTAAATGAGCCATCTGCTCCTAAACTAAAAGTCTGTGATAATCTTTTTAACTTGTAAATGTTTCCTTTTAATTTATGTTTAATCTAAACTAGCTCAATGAGCTGTAAGAAAAAAATAATAAAAATAAATTCAATCAAATTGATCATTTCAATTAAATCAATAAAAAGGTTTGTGGTATTTTCATTAAGAAAACCAAACGACAATAAACTAATTAAATTGATTAAAAGTTTGAAAAGTAAAATGAAAGCTACTAGGAAAAGGTCTAAGGTAAAAAGCAGCTTTAATATAAATAATTTAGCAACAATGATGTAAGACTCTAATTAAAATGTATAGGTTTAAAATAAATGCATTATATCGTTTATAAATCACTTTATATAGAGAGGGCGCCCTCTGGTGGTTAGTTGTTGGTTACTGCACTTGAATAAGAAATGAATCAGACTGCTGTTTCTTTGAGTAAATTAAATACAGAGGCTGGATGAAGAGATTGTTGTCTTAGTTTACCTGTTAGCTTTTTGGTTGACTTGTTAGCTGTTTTTTATTTACCTTTTAGCTGTTGTTTTATTTACCTTTTAGCTGTTGTTTTATTACCTTTTAGCTGTTGTTTTATTTACCTTTTAGTTGTTGTTTTATTTACCTTTTAACTGTTGTTTATTTACTTTTAGTTGTTGTTTTATTTACCTTTTAACTGTTGTTTTATTGACCTATTAGCTGTTGTTTGGTTACTTGTTAGCTGTTGTTTTATTTACCTTTTAGCTGTTGTTTTATTTACCTTTTAGTTGTTGTTTTATTTACCTTTTAACTGTTGTTTTATTTACTTTTAGCTGTTGTTTTATTTACCTTTTAGTTGTTGTTTTATTTACCTTTTAGCTGTTGTTTTTATTTACCTTTTAACTGTTGTTTTATTGACCTATTAGCTGTTGTCTTGTTACTTGGTAGCTGTTGTTTTATTGACCTATTAGCTGTTGTCTTGGTTACTTGTTAGCTGTTGTTTTATTTACTTTTAGCTGTTGTTTTATTTACCTTTTAGTTGTTGTTTTATTTACCTTTTAACTGTTGTTTTATTGACCTATTAGCTGTTGTCTTGGTTACTTGTTAGCTGTTGTTTTATTTACCTTTTAGCTGTTGTTTTATTTACCTTTTAGTTGTTGTTTTATTTACCTTTTACTGTTGTTTTATTTACCTTTAGCTGTTGTTTATTTACCTTTTAGTTGTTGTTTTATTTACCTTTTAGCTGTTGTTTTATTTACCTTTTACCTGTTGTTTTATTGACTATTAGCTGTTGTCTTGGTTACTTGGTAGCTGTTGTTTTTATTGACCTATTAGCTGTTGTCTTGGTTACTTGTTAGCTGTTGTTTTATTTACCTTTTAGCTGTTGTCTAGTCTTTAATGTTTGTTGTTTTTATCTTCCAGCTGTAGCTTTGTTTAGTTATAGATTTAGTTTAAGTTGTATTGTCCGTTTTATTTGATTTGTGTGTTGGATGAAACTTACTTAATTTACTTAATATAATTTACTTACTAACTTTTTTTCTTAACGACATACTAACCTAAATTCATTAATGGTCCATTGTTCCACCATGACATAAGATTTGATTTATTATATATACATATGGTCAATCATATATCAGGATAATATGGTTCAAAGTTAAAAGGAGCTCAGTAAAATATGGAGCATCAGTGAAGTCACTAGAGACACTGTTTACATGATATGTGAACACCAAGAAGAACTATTTATGTAGAATGTCACTGTCTGCCTCTCCTCTCTCTGTATCGAGGTCATTGCTGAGTCCAGCCAGTGAGGCTCCAAACCTCCATGGAAATGTGAACAAAATGAGAGAAGATGCCGGTTTGAGGCGAACACACACAGACTGCACTGATGGTGAGAATTGGACGCAGATATCCATTTTAAACCTGCAGGTTAGCGTCTGTTTTGGGTGCGAGCTGAACTGTACCTGTAGGTCTGTCTTGATGAGCGAGGCTCCTGCTTGGACCAGATAATGACAGATAGTTCTTTGAGACAGGGAGCAGCTCGGTGAAGGACCGTCTCCCCCTGGTCAACAGAAGAGAGAGAGAGAGAGAGAGGAAGGAGAGAGAGATTACAGCATTGACAACATCACCCGAGGAACAGACATCAGCAGTGGCCCCTGCAAGACTCTCTCTTACCTGCTTTTTGTGTCTTGATATTTGTATTGAGTTGGCGCTCTACAAAATAAAGATTGATTGAACTGACTTTTTTTTACAAGCCTGTCATTGAAAGTTTCCCATTTATTCAAACACTAAAATACAGAAAGAAAAAAACATCATATTCCTATTTTGAAAGAACCCACATACATTCATTAATGGTTAAAAAACAACAACTACTAAGGATTCTTTAAATGAGCTACACATGGTGCAATGGCACCCCTGTTGGCCTGTCAGAGACTGCTACAGGAAGTGACTCATCAAGCCCTGCCTATAAAGGAAGCAGGAAGTTAAGGGTTCCTTCTTTCATCTTCAAGGCTGCACAGCAGGCAGCAACAGAAATGTAAGTTTCTTCACTGGACTGAAGTTAACAACTAAGCTTTCTTTTGTTGTGTATTAGTTTATTGTTCATTGTAGAACTTTGGTTATGACTAAACTAAATGTTCTTGTGTCTTGTAGTTTTCACTCCTTATTCAATCTGGTGAAGAAATGAAAAGAGGAGTTTGTCTGACTGTCACCTACGAGCACCAAACACGTGGAGGACTGTACACACACCTGTGGAGGATGTAGAGGACCATCTCTTGGCTTCCTGCACTGGCAGCGTGATGACGTAACCTGCAGCCGGACGAGTCGAGTGACGTCAGGTCGGCTCCCTCCAGGTGCTGATTCAATTCAAAGACACATGTGAGTATGTAGAAATGAGGTGCAAAGGTCTGTAGTGAGAGATGAAACTGTCACTCACCTTCTTTAAGTCCTGTTCTTCACACACTCAACCAGCAGCTCTAGAGAGAGAGGATGTTAAAAACCACAGATAATTAAGTTATTATCAGTGCTCTGTATGACGAGGTTCAAGGTCTTGGTCCTCAAAGGATTTGATTGACTTCTCCTTTTGGGTGACAGATTTATCGGCTAACAATAAACATGTAAACTACTTTAACTAATAAAACACAGCTGGCAGATAACCAACGACATTAAGGACTAATGCACTACAGCTGAACCTGATCACAGATGTAACACCTCTCTCTCTCTCTCTTCCCCCAAAAAACAGGTCTAATGTGACATGATGAACAAACTTAATGTTAACTTTCATGAATCAGTCCATTTGTATTCACTTGTCTCCAGACACTTTACAATAACTAACATTTTTAAGTTTAAACTAATTGTGATGTTTTTTTTTTTTGTTGTAACTTTTAGGGGCAGCCTGACAAAAAAGACAAAGAGCTGTTAACATGTATGCTACACACGCTGCTCACCTGCTTCCTTCAACATTTGGTGAGTATTTTTCTTGGCTCTTGTGTTTATTTTAACAGTTTCAGTCACATACAGTCATATTCTTGATTTTATTCGTAGGGAAAATGTAAATGATGCTACAATGTTTAAATTTTAATCTTAACACTCTCTTTGATGTAGAGATTCTTTTGACTTAATTAAATGATTAAAATTAGTAATGCATCAGAATGGCTCATTTTACAATCCTAGCTGTATTACCCATAGATGCAACCTGACATGACTTTAAAACCCTGATGTCTTTGTTTCTTATATTCCAGGTGTTTCCTGTTTCTGAACTCTGAAGAGTAGGATCTGTGCTGCAGCTGGAAGGATTTTCTTCAGATTAAAGTTTACTTGTTAGCTGTTTTAGTTTTCTCAGTCATAGTTTGTTGTTCTTATCTTTCAGCTATAGATTTAGTTTAATCTGTTTTCTTTAATTTTCATTTGCAGTTTTCTCTTAAAACACTGATAACACAATTTAATAATTTTAAAGTCTTAATTTGTTTCATGTTTGTGTTGTCAGCATCTTCAATTCTAATAGATGTTTTGTTGTAGTTGTTTCTTCTTTGTTTTCATTCGAAGTTTGGATATTTTTTAACATTTGATAAATTTCCATTAGGAAACATGCTTACTGGGTAGATCACTACAGACAAGTTTCCTCTGAACAATGAAACCTGTAAGCTACTATAAATAAAACACACCTGGCAGATAACCAGAACATAATTACAGAAGTCACTGTTGCCAAGTGGACAGAGCAGTAGTTTTATTACAATAAAATATTGAACAGCCATGACCTCTGTTTTTTGTACATGTCACATAAGCACAATACAATAAGGCGTCACAGGCGTCCCCATTGGGTAGGAGCTCAACGCTTTCTTAATGTTGTTTTATTATGTTCCAGGTTTAGGTCATAAATGTTTAGACTCAGTTATTTTAATCATTTCATCCTTTTTGGAGTGGAGGAACATCAGGTTGTTTAATGAAGTAAGGATTATAAAAATGTAGTATTTCATTAAACACTGATGTTCCTCCACTCCAAAAAGGATGAAATGATTAAAATAACTGAGTCTAAACATCATATAAGACCTAAACCTGGAACATAATAAAAACAACATTAAGAAAGCTTTGGTCTCCTACCTGAGCAGGAAGACGTCGACAGAGTTCTGTTGGAGAAGAAAAACACATTTTAGTTCATCAAGTTAATAAAACTCAAAACTGTTTGTGATTATAAAACATTGTGATGACTGGAATAAACCTGAGTTTCATCATTCACTGTAAATTATCTGTGTTTAACTTCACTTTAAGGCTTTTCTATGAGACTGAAGCAAACTTAAATAAAAGTTTAAATGTAGAATATAATATAGAAACATTAAGTATAAGGTCTTAAGAAACATCTTTACCATACATTAACTGCCACAAGAACAAAGACTCAAATTAAAGTTAAAGGTTTAAAATAAATTAATCAGACTGTTGTTTCTTTGAGTTTGAATTAAACACAGAAAACTGGATTAAAAGCTTTAAATTTAAATTCATATTACTTTATCAAGATGAACATTTAATCTCTGAGCTCTGTGAACAGTAATGTTTAGAAAATCATTTTACTCGGATTAACTAGTTACATATTAGTCAATAACTTAAATTGAGGGTTATTGTTTTATTTAAACTCTTCAATCTGATAT